CGGAATGAGAAGACTCGGAATGAGAAGACTCGGAATGAGAAGACTCGCTAATGAAATAATTGAGGACACCGCTTTAAAAAGCTTAATGTACAAAGGAACATTTCAGCATATTTTGAACACATGTTGCTTTGGCTCAAAAATATTCATGAATTTGATCCGTGATCAAGTCAAAACTAAAATAAAAAATCTTGTATATTGCATTAAAGACTTAGTTTTACAAAGCACTACTGTACCAAGGGAATCAACTAGTAATATTACACGAGAATATTGTGATAGGTGGCCAATAATGACAAATAAAAAAGGACTTAATTGCACCACACCATGACAAAGTCATTGATACAGTATTACATCATTGCTTTCATGAAGGAAATAACAATTTCATAGCTTTATCAAATTAATTGGCCCAAGTACCAGTATGATCTGGAATGCTTTACTTGAATGGATAGTTAAAGCATCTTCAGTAATAAATTTAAGAAAAAAAAAAAGAGAATTCCTATAGATACACAAATAGAAAAAAAGGTCTGGAGAAAGCTCTTACAAAGAACTGGTACAAGAACAATGTACTTACTGGCCACATTCTATACTGTACGACGACTATCTACAATCTTAAAAAGATAATCCTTAAATAGCAAACCCCCACATCCCCACCACAAATTCTTTGTTCATTGTGGAGAATATTCAATGAACACTTTAAAGTCCCCACACTCAGGGTACACTCAGCATATGCTGTCTTTCAACATGACTGACTTGAGGCAATGGTCCAAAAGTAATGCCAGTTTTCTTTCAGATAATGGATAGGTCCCATCGTTAAACCAGACCAATTCAAACTAGAAAGGGACCAACAAAAAGGAGACACTGGAGAGCAAGAGAAAAGTGCTTTCTGTGAAGAAAGAAAGAACAGCCTCAACATCCTTTCATCAATGTGAAGAGCCCAGGAAACTCCGAGATCTTGTGAGCAACATTTCCAATATCACTATGCAGATTAGATAATTGCCTTAATCATTCATATTGTAGAAGCAAAACAGTATACAATCCACTCTGACTATTTGGAACAGTTTAAATGAAGGTTAGACAACAATGGAACGACTGATCTGATGCAATACCAGTCAACAGAAGTCAAACCAAACTAATTTGTTGTTTTATATTTTACGTGCAGCATCATTAATATGATTTCTGAAGACCCTACACAAATGATGTAATTCATAATTTTAGCATGTTTTAATTAAAGTCTACATGATTTCCAGAATAGGAACAGAAGGCAACTATTGAGCAGGGCAGCATAAGAGATCCTAGCATAGTTTTCAGCGAAAACAAATTTTAAAATGGCTGCTATTGATCATCTACATTCACATTGGCTGCTTCCAGTAATCTCCAGCAATTAAGAGGGCAAAAGCAAACTCATCACCCGAGTGTAACATTCCTTGCATCGTATGAACATTACAACCAGCCAACTAAAAACAGAGAAGTAAAGCATAAACAAGATGTCTACCTCAGCCAGATCTGAACAAAAAGGAAACCACCGAAACCATTATGGCTTGATTTGGTAAAAACAACCCAATACAAATCTATTACAAAAATAATCGATGTTCCCTCATCAGAAACCATCAAAACTACCTGGATGTCTGCTTTGCAGAACCCCTCCGTAAGAATGACCCCAACTTCCAGTTGCTTGCCATTTCCAATGAACAATCTTGCCTCAATATTAACATTTATGTCCGGGGCCTGCTGCAGTGCTCTGACAAAGCTCCACATGGCTGAAGGAACGCCACATTATTTCCAGTAGATACTTTATAGCCTTCAGGACACAATGTGGATGGAGTTTAATAACTTCAGAGCATGACCTCTGCCCTCCATTTGGATTACATCTTCTCCTTCCACCTCTTCCCACTACCCTAAAAGCCATATCGTGTCTTCTTCACATTGCTCTAAGCAAAGCGGACATATTTTCTCATTTTCACATCTATCATTTACACCTCTACTTCTCCTACATTTACCACCATTAGCTCTCCTTGCATTTTGTATGAACGGTGAGGGTGCTCAGAACAATGGTCTAACTGGAACTTTATACAACTAACTTCCACCTATTTGTATTCTAGATCTCTTAAATAAGACCAACATTCCACATAAAGTAATAATTAATGCTACCTGTAATTTCTAAGCTTGAATCGGAACTCATTAGGAGAAGACAAAATTAACTCTTTGATCCAACAGACGAGTAATACCTTCACAATGCTCCTCAGATCTTCAACATAGGTCCGCTCAGTCTCCAGGATTTCCTGCACCACTCTGTCCACATAAAGCAGCCCGGGTCTTGCAGATGCTGCTCCTGGTGACATTGCACGATTCTTGTGGGACCCCCTAGAGTCGACTCTTTTGATTCCAATGACTCCGGTCCTCTTCTCATCCACCTCTCCAGAATTCATACGTGGCAAATTAATCTTTGCACAATTGTTGGTGCTGGACAAGTGCCCTGTCGGGATCAGCTCCAACCGGATGGCCCCAGCTTCCTTCTCTTGGCCAGCAAGGCCCAAGTGGCTGTTGGAGACCAGAGTCATCCCACTGCTCAAGGAGCAGTGGCTATCCCTAGATGAGGCAGAGGAAGATGTAGAACTGTAGCTGACTGGGCGATCGCGATCAGACGAATCCATGCTCCTCATTCCAGCATACCTTCTATTATCTCCATGCAGGAAACCAACAGGAGAGGTCAAGGTTGCTCTATGGGACAGAGACTCTCGAACAGGTGGCAAGACATCTGGAAGAACATGGTACTCATCTGTAAAAGAAAAACAAAGGGAGAATGAAACATTGGGAAATAGCTGGACAACAACTTCAAAATGATCAAACAGACTTTAAAGCCAGATATTTTATAATTCAATTTTAACAGTTTAAAAGGTGTACTTAAGAGCCACAAATAGATTTGCCAGTGCTTTATGCAAACTTGTACATCATTCCAGTAAAATAAGGTTTTGGAGAGGGCAAAAAAAACAGGGAAGAGGTGATTAAGAAAACAATTATGATTTCCTGAAGGAAATCAAAACTACTTTTCAAAAAGAGAACAGCATATAAAGGAAAGTTTGGAGTGCTATGAACAAAAAGAGCTGGGATTGACATTAATTGGATAACTGAGACAGCACAGATATGATGGACCGAACAGCTGCCTTTTCTGTTGCAAGGTCTACAAGTCTCCAGTTGAGGAAGGGTCACCGGACCCTAAACATTAACTGTTTTTTCCTTCACAGATGCTGCCAGACCTGCTGAGCTTTTCCAGCAACTTTGTTGTTGTTCATACAATTCTCCACGTGTTGATCAATCAGTCCTGCACTTTTCTAACTACTCAAGTGCAACAAGGTTTTTCTGTGAAACATGGGCAGCAAGAGATGGCCAGGGTGCAAAATAATACTGATTTCCTCTGGGGACATCCATTTTCAATATCAGCATTTATTTTCTCATATTGCAACAATGAACATCTTTTTTAAAAAGTTTCTTGCATTCTCAAAGACTTTGATAAAGTAGTCATCCCTCTGTATTTTACCCCATTTCCTATTATTCACCTCGATAATGCCAGACCTGCTGAATTCTTTTCCCCCCCAGCACTTCACTTATTCCAGTTGAAATCAATAGGATCCATATAATTTCCACGTCAGAAATGGGAAACAAACAGAAACAAAAGAACTTAACATGAAATGCCCTGAAATTACTGCTTTTCATTGCCATGCTGTATTAGACATACACATGACATCATCTCACAATGGCCCTTTCAGTTTTGAGCAATGTTTGACACTGGTGAGGCCACCTTTGGAATACAGTGTACAATTCTGGTTGCCCTTCTACAGGAAGGTTGCTAAACTTGAGAGGGTGCAGAAAAGATTTACAAGGCTGTTGCCAGGGTTGGAGGGTTTGAGTTATAAGGAGAGGCTGAATAGGCTGGGGCTATTTTCCCCTGGAGGAGGCCGAGTGGATACCTTTACAGAGGTTTATAAAATCATGATTCATGAGGGGCATGGATAGACTGAATAGCCAATGTCTTTTTCCTAGGGTGGGATTTCTAAAACTAGAGGAAATAGGTTTAAGGTGATAAAGATTAAAACAAAACAGGACCCGAGGGGCAACTTTTCCATGCAGAGCCTAGTGCATGTGGTGTACAGGCCGCCAGACGAAGTGGAGGAGGCATGTACAATTTCAACATTTAAAAGGCATCTGGATGGATTTATGAATAGGAAGGCTTTAAAGAGCTATGGGCCAAATGCTGGCAAACGGGACTAGGTCAGATTGGGATGCCTGGTCAGCATGGACAAGTTAGACTGAAGGGTTTGTTTCCGTGCTGTATGAATCTATGACTTTACAAATGAAATAGATTTTTAGATGGAAGATAAAGCTCAAAACTGCAAAGATGACTGCATTAGCAGTCTCATTCTCAAACTCTTCAGGTCATTATCTGTGTCATAGTGTGAAGAGCCCTGCAATGCAGACACCAACACAACACTGCAGTGCAGTGCCAGCTGACTAGCAGGTACAGCAGAAATCAGACAGAAGGTCAACTTCAAAAGCTAGCACAGGCATGTTCTGATTGAAGAATGTTTTTTATTGTTTACATGAATTGCAGAGAAGCACTTCATCTTGCCCTTAAATGATCTCCAGAAGTTCAAGTTGCACAATAAGTTTTATGATCAAATGACCACCAATACAATTGATAACATTTAGAACCCAAAAGGTTTGCCTACCCCCTCCTAGGCTTTATTTGTACTCATATCTTAAAAACTTATTTTTGTCACCTTTTGTGACTTTAGGATATCAGAAGTCACTTTTGTGAAATAAAAGCCAATTTCCATAAAACAAACTCCCACAAATGACGCAATAATGATCATTTAGTTGACAGATTTTGGTGGAGGAATGAGTTCTGGCCAGAATGCCAGGGAGAACTTCAGTTGCTCTCCAAAAACAAAAACTCTTCAATCCCAAGTGGGGAGATGGGACCACTATTTAATGACTCATCTCAGAAACAGCATTTCTAACAAAGCAGCATTCAGTCTGCACTGGAGTATCAACCTAAATTTTATAGTTAACATGCTGGAGTGTTATTTGAACACACAACCACCTGATCCAGAGGCACAAATACAAATAACGAGCCAAGGCTGACAGTATAGTTAAATTCCTACAAAGTGTGTGCTCCTTGAATCATGGCACCATAGAAACTGGTTACTTTTTTAGTAAAAATATCTGCTTCTAAATTGCAAAAGGTAATTCTTATAGACTATGATGCCAAAATGCTGAGAGTGAGATCAGCGATTGAGCTCCTGTTCCCTCACTAAGGAATTTCTACTCAACCTGTTCAGAGGTATATTACATATCTCTGGAGCAAGACTTGAACTAGGCCTCCTGTTCTGAAGGTAGGGGATACTACCACTTCACCACAAGAGCCTCTCCCTCACTTAAATGCTTTCTCCCTTCAAAAATAAGGCGGCAGTGCTCAATTTTTCAATCTTTAAAACTTACCCAAGGACATCTCATCAACTATACTATCAGCACACAGCTGATCAGAAAATCCCCTCACTCTCACTGCACTCAAGTGAAAACAAGGTATGGGGAGGCTTACTAAAAGCCAGTAGTAAGGATTTCAGAAACCCTTTTGGCCACTCCTGTTACTGTATTAAATCATATAGGGAAGTTTAAAAAAATCTGGAAAAATAAAGATATATTCTGGCAAGTAATGAGGAAGGGAATCCACAGACAGGAGAGCCAGCAACACAACAGGCACAGGTGTAAAACTGACTAGGGCAGTTCTTTTTTTTTTAAAAATGAATTGAATCAACTTCCAGAAAGGGCAAAAAGTGTGTTCAATCTTTATAGAACAAAAAAGTAGACACAATAAATACTTTGAGGAAAACTTTCTAGGGTAGTGAAGAGTGAGCAGCAGGGAGTGGGTGCAATTGGATAGGATTTTTGAAGAGTTGGAACAAGGATGACAGGCTGAATGGCCTCTGATGTAAGATTAGGTGATTCAGTTTGTTGAGACATACTGAACTACAGAACTACTGCAAAGGCAAAACAATAAGGTACATTCACTATTGAGTTTCTCAGCCTTGTCATCTATCGCTGGGAGGCCTGCATGTCTGGTATCACTTCAGTGAGTACAGTTCCTCACCACAGTTATTAAACTGGCACACTCACTCAGACTCCAGGATCTGCAGAAATCTGGCTCTTGGTGCTCCTCGAAGACGCATTGCAACTTTTAAAAGCAAATAAAAATCTTAGTCAACAATGACCATCAGTTCACTGGAGAGTTCCCTCGCTCGCTCATTCCACATGATGCTTTCAATCAAGCGTATGAGCCAATCAGCAGTCTGCTCTGATCAGCTTCCGAACAAAAAGCCCACCATTGGAGCTGGGGTCTTTGTTCAGCAGTCTGCAGGACATCAGACCGGCTTAAAGTTGTGATGCAGCCGTTGCTGTGGTGACAGGAATAGGTCGAACATTGCTGCAGTAGTCAGATGCTGTTGGGGATGGAACAGAGGGTCACGTTCTGCAAGTGTTTTTTCCCCCCCCCAGATCCTCTGCAGCTTTGTGCGTGCAGTAGGGGCAAACGCTTTCAACTATACATTTCCCAGGGGAGCACTGAATTTAATCAGGAGGCATCCCTCCCCTTGTTGTTCAGTCAGAAAGGATGGCGCGGTGTTCACGCCTTTTCGAAAAAAACCTTGCTGTTATTTACCAGAGTATTTTTTTGTTTCGTGAGTGGGAACAGGGAGATTATTTCCTGCAGTGCTGGAGAACAAGGAGCGCGCAATTCTGGTCTGCCCTCGCGTGGTTAAGAGCAGCGGGGTCTGAGAGATATTTGAATTTGCCCCCTCCCCTTTAACAGTTCCCTTTGGTTTTCGGGGAGGGTGAGGTAGAGTTTTACTTGGAATGGTGTTTCGATCCCTGCCTGCATTGCTTCGCTGCACTCGAACAGATTTCTGTGATGCTAATTCGTAACATTTGCAAGTCATCTGAAGGACAGCTCTAAATATTTAAAAATTACTAACAACGAAAAAAACATATTCATGGTACTTAATAGTGTAACCAAGATACCCAAGACCTGCATTTTCCACAGAGCTGACCATAACGACTGATAGCAGATAGTTCCTGGGCACCTGTCAATCAGGGAGGAATACCTGACTGACTGACTTCCCAAAGCAGAATGCAGACAAATGTTGCTCGTGTATTTGTAATGTTAAAAATCACAATTGCCCACAATGACCAATTACATTTTTATTGTTGTTGCAGCCCCAGAGCCAGGGAACCAAAAGAAAAATGGATAAATTTAAGCAGTACCTTGCAGCTGTGGAAGTAGAGTTATCCCAGTATCCACTGCAGATGCAAAAGCCCTTCATCAACACAGTAGGTGCTGTAGTTCTAAATGGGCTTTTGTTACCACGACAAATGCTAGGATCTCTTTCTCACAGAAAGATCAAAAGCAAAAAGAACTTATTTAATAAGATGGAATTTAAATTTGGTCATGCCTTTTGAGTGTTTAGATTTATCACTAGAGACATAGCTGCAAGGTGACCAAGATTACGAAGTAAACATGCCGAGCTACACTTTTCAGAAAAGCAGACAGAATGGCAAGGGAGATGGAGTAGCCCTGATAATAAGGATAAGGACATTAGTGAGAAAGAATCTGGTTCAGAAGATCATGAAGCAAGAAAAAACACTATCTGTGTATTTTAGGAAATAGCAAAAGCCAGTTAACTGCTCCCACTAGCAGTTTTTAGACCCTGCTGACAGTTGAGTAAA